GATGTGCGTGCAAAGGGATTGAAGTGATTTCATGATCTCCCTTTGTACGACCTGCCCTGAGCCGAAGAGTGTGGCAGGTCAAAAAGCCAACGGGTCGGCGGTCCCAGCTCATGCATAACATTGCGCAACCAAAAGAAGGGACATGCCGGAGCACATTACCAAGCTGGCTGGGCAATGCCGGCCCACAAAACCAACCTTAATTACCAGACACAAGAGAGCCGAGGAAAAGGCTGCCAACCGCCTCGCTGACACGTAGGGTAGGGCATGTTCGAGGGACGCTGGAGCTTGATTGCTTATTACAGTAGTTTATTTATGTGTACGGGGTGTGATCCACTCAATGGACCAACTTGTGTAAATATGCCCACAGCAGTCAGATGGCCCTGGTGAATGTTTGATATTGTCATTTGTAAGTGAAGTGATGGAGTGATTCTTGAACAACCGTGAGCTGATGGAGATTCCCTGGGTCACTCCTGGCCACTTGGCCGCAGTGTTGCAAGGAGATGAAGAGGTGCGTGGTCATCTGGCCTGAGGAGGTGGCCAAGGAGGCATTGGGTGAGATTTGGGACGACAAAAGCAAACTCCCAGCCAGCGTGAATGGTGCCTCGGTTCTGGCAAGAATGACTTGAGAAAGCTCAATGCACATAGCCACATAGCATAGAAAGTCATGGAAATCGTGAAGAATGACAGTTGCGCCCTTGAACAGTAAAGACTTGGAACACTTAGGTGCAATGCTGGTGATGAATGAGGTTGAATGGCCCGAGGCTGACCAGAAGAAGACTTGGGAGAAGATGTTCCAAAAGGTGTGTTCGGGATGGCTTGAGGACCAGTGTTACTTGGACCAGGAGAAGCGCTTTGTTCCTCCCAAGGGTTGTGACAGTCACTGTGTGTGGAATTGGGATGCCGAGACGGCCGACAAGTTCCTTGAGAAGATCGGGGTCAAAAAGCTTGGCCTTACTGGGGCACAGTTGTCTGACCCAGTGAACCGCGATAAATTGGAAGCTCCTCGGGCATTCAGCAGATTTTGGGGTAGTTCTCATGGTTGATACAGGTTGTGGTAAGGAAAACGAGGCATAGCGAGGCTGTTGATCATGAATGTCAGTAGGTATCAGACAAATAGTGTCCCCTTCCCAGCTCCAAGGACATGGATGACAGTGACAAGGTCGGCGAGAAGTTGATTCAAGAGTGCGGTCTTTTGATGCAAGATATGGTGAAGTCAGCCAGCTGAGAAGGCCTAGGTGAAACACGAACATTCTTTGCACAACGAGCAGGAGTGTTGAAAACGGATTCCTGGCTTCTGAGAAGCGCTGGAAAATCCTATCCCACGGCCTGAGCGGGAGATTGGGACAACAAATGCGGAGGCACACGGGCCTCTCCTTTTGAAGCTGGTGTGCTTCGCAAACGAATCCAAGTTGAATCTGCCATGACATTTGAGCCTTGCTCCCAACCGCCCGGCTCCTGTGTTTCGCTTCGCCTGGCCAACCTTGAAATCAATAGTTGGTTATTTTGGTGGCAGCAAACGCTTCAGACTCACCTGTGCTGGCAACAAGCGGCGCCACTTGCACCTCCCTGACCCACTGGTCGTTCTTCAAGCTGTTGGTAAGGATACACGCGGAAGGGGCTGCATTTCCAAGGTCTTCTCCCTGCACCTTTGCGTTGGCAATGAAATTGCAGCGTTATATATCATGAGCCCAGGTCAGGTCATAGTCATACCCTCACGTTGACTTGAAATGGCCGCAAAAGTGAAAGGTGGCGAAGTTTGTGAAGCCCCAAGCCTACGAAGAAGTTCACAAGTTCATTTTGTTTTTTTCCAGGTCGATGAATGGACCAGTGGAGAAACAGACCCCCTAAATCCATCACAGTCTTTCCATGCCTTCCTCGCACAGGCAGCTGATGAGGTTGCAGCCTCTGCGGGCGCTGCCTGTCACAGTGGCTCGATCCCAACAAAGCCCCAAAACACATCCAATCACGTGCTTGGAAGCTGTTCCTCCACTTGCTTCGGGGGTATGGCGGTTGTGCTGGATCCATGTGGTCAGTTGATACCCCAAAATGCGTGGTTCTTTTGGTTGGCTCATGTTGGCTCACTTCGCATGCTTCTCAAGCAAACCTGTTTTGTTTGGTTTGGCATGAGGTGATGAGGTGCACATGTCGCATGTGCTTGAGGTGGGCTGCCAGGGCTGCGAATGAAAAGCCGACCACCACAATTCGGCAACAAGAACAGAAACCAGCATGAGAAAGTGACATGTGGTCGGGGCGGTCGGGAATATACATTGTGTTCTTCAGGATAGTCCGGTCGTGTGTACCTGTGAAGGATCGCCAAGTGCCACAAGAAAACTGCACCATCACTGAGCTTATTGACGTGTTAGAAAGCGATCCACACCAACAGCGAACCTGTCTCAGCATGATAGTAGGTGAGTGGCATGAAGACTAAGATGGTTCTTTGTTCTGCATGAGATGCTGTTGCTTCCAGGCCATGGGAGTTAGCAAAGTTCGACTCTCAGCGGACTACAGACGTAGTGGTTTTGTGTTGGCAATGCCATACGTGCATGTTGTTTGTTGCCCACCCGACGAGAGGAACCATTGCATGTTTTGGGCTTGATGAATTCTGGGTCTCCAAGCCATCCGCAAGCTTGACCTTTGCATCCAAAAGCTTGACCTGCCTTAACCCTGTGAGGGTCGAGCTTCTATAGGGCCAATACTCGACCTGCCGGCTTCGGATTGGTTTGTGCATGGCTTCACGTGAACCACGTGAACCACCCATCTCCCACGCGTCTCACCAAAGTTCTGGCCACTGGATGCCACTGGTGCGCTGGTGTATATATATATATATCTGTGTGTGTGTGTTCGAAGCTGGTGGATGTCCTGAACATTCGGTTGTTCTCCACGTTTTCCCAAGGAATGGGCCATGGGCACCTGCCGCTTTACACTGGGCCGTGAAAGCACTGGCCAAGAGGCAGATTTGGGTGTCGGGAGGGTAAAACGTATCATATTGTGTGTTGGATACATTATGCAGTAGTCGCCTACAGATAATACTTCCATAGTACTCGAACTTCATTCCGTGCCATTTGCGATACTGCTGTTCAACAGCTTAGGTGGATCAAGCGGCGAAGGTCTTGGCCAAGATTGCCTTGAGGCGACCGCCGGCGGATGGGGCAGTTACTGTACCAACCCAGGCAATGTAAGGGACAGGCAGAATGAAAGGCGTGGTTCCCTTTGATGATAATATAAAATTCTGATCTTCTATGAGCTTTCTTGATGTTTGGTCATTATTTTTCAGAGTTTAGATATTGTGCAATTTTGTTTTTGCAATTGTTCTGTTAGAAGCCTAGCCACAGGTCTCAGGGCGCTTTGCATTGACCCAATCCAGCTTTTTGTGTTACAGTAGGCAATCTCTCCCGCTCTCTTTCTCTCTCGCTATATATATATATAGTTGCTCATGACCAGCAAGCGACTTACAGCAATTCTGGACTGCAATCAAAGACTATCGAACCAGGGTTCAAGTTGCACCTCAATCAAGCATAATCATACAACTAAGGTTGAGATATGTTGAGATCAACATGGTGCTCTTTGGTCCCTGGTTGTTTGTTTTTTTTGCAGGATGTTCTCAGAACATCTCAGCATCCTTGTGATTCTTTTGCACCCTTCCCTCCCGCGAATGATTTGCACAGCGCTCGGTGTTCGCCGAGAAGGACGCATGTCACACTTCGCTCTTCGGTCTGACCTCGTCGAAGAGCGAAACGGAGCTGGTTCGCCGAAAAAGCGGAGCTAGGCTGTTCTCCATGGGGGGTAAGGCAAAGAACCGTGGCATGCGGGGAGAACTGACCGTCGTGGCGAGGCTGATGCCTGGTGGGCCGGATGAGGCAGTCGGCTGGGTGCATGGTTGCGTGGAAAAAATGTCAAGTTCTGAGAGACAACACAAGAAGTACAGTACCCTAAAAGTCTGTGTACCTAGCACGATTCCTACCTTCAACAGTACCTACCTCAGCGTGCGGTGTGGTAACATGTCCAATCATCGACAGAGACTCGCTGTCAGACGTCCTGGCTTTCTTGAAGGCTGACAAAAGACACGTCCCAAGTGGTGGTAGATCAAAGACAGAGTCATAGACCAGAAGTTTCAGGACAGGGCATGTGCCACCTCAGGGTCATTCCATTCAGCTAGCCTTGCACCAGCTCGGGGCTGCATGTAATTCGGTAGATGGGGCAGTTCAGCCGTGTTCTAATTGTCCACTTCGGACGCGCTCCATGTTTTGCTATACTGTATTTGCGAATGGAAGTGCAGCGACACGTACAGTGCAACTTGTACATATATATGTACCATATGTACTTTGGCTCAAGGATCAAGCGACTAGAAAAGGTGCGGTTTCCGTTCCGACGCTACGCCGCTTATGGACCGTCAGTGATAGCTTCAAACTTCGCTGATTAAGATCCACTCGCAGGTTATCAGCCGTACGCGCTCTTTATAGCCGTACGAGCTACACGAGACCAAGAACAAGACTAGTCATTACAGAAACCTGCAATGTCAAGCTCAGGAGGAAATGGAAGCGAACCCTATTCATTCGCTGCTCCTGGTGGTCCCAACACCATTTCGTCACCAGACTCTACAATGGGCACTGATTCATCAGCAAATGCTGACGTTATCACTATGCCTACTGGATCACAAATCTCGGAAAGATCCGTGCCACCGGCTCGGAATCTGACCGATCTTGCACCCGTAGGACCAAGAAGATCGATGAGAGCTACAACAAGATCTACATCGCCTATAACGTCTACCGCGAGATCCCCAAGAAGGAGTATAGAGAAGAGACGTGACGATGATAGAGGAACAAAAGAGCAAAGAAGAGAGATTCAGCTGGGTGAAGAATTGAGATCGGCGAGAAACGCATACAATTTTCTTCATGAAGAATATGAATGCATCCAAGCCGGATACTCACGACTACACCACGAGGCTGAAGTGGAGTTCAGGCAAATGTCTGACTACAACAGGAAGATGCAGGAACATCTACAAGAGATGACACAGGAAGATGAAGGAGCGACAATAAGAATTGAAGAGCTCGAACACAAGCTACGCTTGGCGGAATCGACAGCTGAACATATCTACATGAGATATCAAGAGCTTGCACAAGAAACTCATCAAGAACATTCAGAGCTTGAATCTGTGAAAGCAACGAAAGACAGAATGTCCCAAGAGCTTCAAGCAGCAATTGGACACATCCAAGAACAGAATGAATCTTCATTGGCGATCAATAGAAGATCAAAAGCCATTCAGGATGAGAACACAGCCTTCGTCGGAATAGCTGACCAGATACAAGCTAGAATGATTGCGCTATAGGATGAGAATGTCAATATGCACGAGGTGATCCAACACCAGAGAGAA